TAAAAATAATAATAATAATAATAAAAAGAAATAACTTGCATATAGTCATGCCCATTCACCACACCCTTACTTGAATACTCATTTTCCCATCTTGTGTCACCATGATTCTCACTTTCCCTCTGCTGCACCAAAAATGTAAACCGCTGCCCCATAGCCACCAGTCCTGCATGTTGAGCACATAACACCATCACTAATTCTTGCTGCTTTTCCATGGTATCTGAAACCAGTTAGGTTTTGCCCATCCTCAAGCCTGTCCATAAATCTCTTCCCCCTCTGCATCAGAGAGGATGTTGCCTCACTAAGTGCTGCACCTGCTCTATTACAGATGCCCACTCTGACAGCAGTTAGCAGAGGACAGCAGCCCTCCAACACATTAGTAGCACTAACTGTAATGCAGAGAGGTTGCATTAAGCAACACGGTTAAGTCATTGTGGACATTTTCTGCGTTGGTTGGATTGTCACTAATATGCAAAAAAAGCCAAACATGCACTGATTTGGTCAGCTCCAAAATGAGTAATAAGACTCACAGAAGAAGCCATAGGGCCCTGTGGGCCCAGCTGTCATGGTCAGCAGGGATGTGTGAGCTCAGGCTCTCTCTTGGCAGACGCAGTGCTCACCCAGAGCCATGCGGGACCAGCCCCAGGCATTGCGGAGATCTGGCTGGGTGGCTTGGTCAGCCCTTTTGGCACAGTTTCTGCAACTACTTAAGACCACACAAATCAAGGGAGGCAAAGCAGCAGGACCAGGAACCCAGAGAATAAAAAAAATTTCAGCACATGCCCCAGCAAACTGAGCATGGGGAGATGATGGGGCTGCCTTCCTGAGGGGTGAGGGTTTGTCCTCTCCCTCACCCCTGAGAGTTTGCCCCTGCTTCAGCCAGTTCCTTGGCAGAGCTAAGGATGCATGTGTTATTTATTCACTTAGATTTAAATAACAATGAGAAATGCCTGTAAGAAAGGAGATGCTCTAACAATTCCTGCAACATTCAGCTGCAAAAAGAGCTGCTTAGCAGCAAAAACAAATGACTAAGTGGTGACCCGACCCACAAAGTTCGCGAGCAGCAGAACAAACCCCTCACTCCTCCTGGCAAGTCAGACTCCTCCACTAACCCTTCCAGGGTCTCAAGGCTCATTGTGCCTGGACAGCTCTGCAAGGCTCCCTTCCTTCCTTTCCCTTCCCTTCTCTCCTGTCAGCTCCTCCAAGACACCACATCAACTATGGGAGAGCAGAGAAGGACTTGGTGAGTCACAACTGCCCTTGGACCAGGAGCTGCTCAAGGACCTCTCCTGGTTCCCTCCTGCCACAGAATCGCTTCCCCTTCGCAGGTCTCATCTCAGCAGCCCTCTTTCCTCATTAGTGTATATGTGACTCTCTCAATAAAGCATTTTGTTATATGATGTATGAAGGACCGTGTCTCAAACCACATTTTACTGTATATTTAAGTGCATGTTTTGCTGATTTATTGCTGTTCCAGAGAACGTCTCCCTTCCTGAGCAGGGCAGGCCTGTAACGGATATATCAGCTCTGACTAATGATTATTAGTACATCCCAAGGTTATGTCCCACAATCAAATAACGTGTAGGAGGGAAGAGAGACTCCAGCTTACTCGGCTGAGGACAAAGATCACAGATAGTCTCTTTCAATCTTCAGATTGCAATATCCATTACAGATTGCCACCTTCTAATGTCAAAGTATAATTTGTTGTTGAGAAAATGTGTCGCTGTTTCAGAGGCGAGTCAAAGATCAGCCTGGCTGTATATCAGTGCATGTTGATGTACATTAAGAACCGGTGGCCAGGTACCAAGGACATCAGGCTGCCAGTGCGGAGGGAATGGAAGCAGACGTGACTTGCTGATCTTTACTGTGCAAACACACGGCCCGAAGTGGAAAAAAAAATATTTAACCCAGTCAAGCGAGGTGTCACCCGTAATTCCCACCGTCTCAGGCAGCACCAACGCGACGTGTCAGGCGAGTGGCCGGAGGCAGCCGCTGCTCGGCTGCGGGAAGGGCAGGGCCGCCCGCGCGGCACCGGGCAGCAATGGCCCTGTTAAGCGCGTTCCTGGGCAGATGCAGGCGGGCGCCACGCCAAAGCAATCCCTCTGCATTCCCGAAGGGCAGCGCAGAGCGACCCGCGCCGGCCGCCAGGGGGCAGCGTTGTCCCGGCGATGGAGCCCGGGCCGGGCCGGGCAGGGCGGGGAGCTCTGGGGGAGAAGGGGTCGGAGCCCTCCCCATTGCCCCGGCACCCACATCCCCTCGTGGCAGCGGCAGCGCAGGTGCGACTTCACCCCCGTCTGCAAGCAGGTAGAAGTTTCTGCATCAAAGAGCCTGGGACGTTAACTCCGTTTTTATAATCCTGTGCACTTCGTCAATGAAATTTCAAGTTATATGGTTTACGGTCCATCTTAATGATCAAGATATTATTACAGAACATGCAGTTTCCCCTAGTGCTGTTTTACATTTCTAAGTGTGGCTTTTCTTTTTTTTTTTTTTAATTTCTATAAATCCACCACACAAATGCTGCTGAGAAAACAACACGCAGGGGTTAAGTTGTCTTATGTCACCTTCTCCTCACCAACTTCCTACTAACAGAGACATTTATGCTAGGAAAAAGGCGAAGCTCTCTAGTTTCAGCAGTGCCATGTGGTCTCTCTGAGCCCCATCCTCAGAGCCATGTGCAGAGCCCGGCTGAGCTCAAGTGACTCCTGCAGGTCAAAGCTCTGGCCAGAGGAGGCTGAGGCAATGCTGTCCTGGTGGGTGATGCAACCAGAGGCTCTGAGAGGGCTGTATTTCTTACTGCAAACATCTGCCTGTCACCTGGCATTTGAACGTGCAGTTGGAGGCTGCTGGTAGGTGCTTGTGTCACGGTAATGACTTTTTCCATCCCTGAGCAGAATGGCTTTTTCCATCCCTGAGCAGAAGACGGTTCTGACATTTGGTTTGAGAGCAGCTTTGAAGACACTGAGTTCTTCTACTTGAGAAGAATTTCTTCTTAAGATCTCTTCTGAACCTACCACTTTAAAGCCATCCCCCCTTGTCCTATCACTACTTGCCCTTGTAAACAGTCCCTCTCCATCTTTCTTGTAGTCCCTCTGCTTGCACAATGAGGGTGTGCACTGCCTGCTAACAGCTCACCAGAAAATACCCCTTGTAGCATCACTGCCTCTTTGGGAAGTTCACTGCCACTCTGCTTTCTGCACCCATTTGCCACCAGCTTCTTCCCCAAGAAACATACACAAGAGCACATGGCTCCTGTGGGCAGCATGTGCGTGTCAGGGTGTGGAGGAGCCGATCTGGTTACAGCCCTGGTGGGTCAGCAATGAAGGACAAGCCCAATAAGCCAAACGTATACAAGCAGCACCACCCTTCCTGCGCAAAGCACGGGGAAATGCAGAGGCAGCACAGTCCACACTGGCCACACCAGCCAGAGCAACGCCCTCTGGGAGGCTCCCTGTCCTTGCTGTCTGTGAAACCTACTGCTGTTCCGCATGGGCAAGGGCAGCTGTGACACTCAGAATGCTTGGCCAAAGATGCGCAGCAATTGGAAGCTGTAGACAGAGAAGGATGCTTCTGCTCTCAGCCCCACATGCCATTCTCTAGGAATTGGATCTCTGAGTATAAGAAGAAAGGAGTTACATCAGACTGTTCAAATTACCATGGTATTACTCTGCTCTCCATTGCTGGTAAAATCCTGGCAAGAATACTTTGGAACAGATTAATACCTGCTATAGCAGAAGGAATTCTACCTGAAAGCCAGTGTGGTTTCAGAGCCAACAGGAGTACCACAGACATAGTATTTGTTCTCAGAAAACTGCAAGAGAAGTGTAGGGAACAGAATAAAGGTCTCTATGTAACCTTTGTTATCTCACCAAGGCTTTCGATACTGTAAGCAGAAAAGGTCTATGGTAGATTTTGGAACGTTT